GCCGCTCTGCAGCCCGGGCTCTGCGGCGCGGGGCGCGGCCGACCGCCTATTGTTGAGCGCGCCGAGCCCCGCCAGCGATGCCCCGCGCCGCCTCCGCCGAGCGTCGGCGAGGTTTGAACTTGGCTTCGGCCTGGAGTCCTGCGCAGCCCGGGGTCGTCGGCTGCCCGGCGAGCGGCGATGGTGAGTGTGGGGCGCGGGTCGGCTTCGCGCCGGCGGCTCCTTTCTGAGCGTGTCTATTTCGGTCTCTGCGGCGACTCTGGAAACCGCGTCCTAAGGACGGTTCCCGGGGCTGGCTTTCACAGCTTTCACACCGGCAGCCCGCGGGGTGGGGGACAGGGGGCGTGCTACGAGGGTCTCCTGTCGGCCCTAGGCCTTGGCTGTTTTATTAGGGAGGCAGAAGCTGCCACTCTAAGAGGAAAAGAATTGTTGGTTATTGACAGCATGAACACTTTTCAGAAGAAATGATCTGTGAAATATTTTAATTTTGATGAATTGCTTCCCACGAGGGCCCCTACTGAGTTTAGGACGCCTTGCCTTTCTTAATTTTCCTGTATTTGTCTCTGTAGGAAAGGCTCCAAACGTGGGGCACTCCTGCTACGCCCCCCCCGTCCCCATCTTAGGGTAATTGTTAAAAAAAAAAGTGTTCCACTATCATGTAGCAAACATTTAATCATGAAAGTGAAATTATACCTGACTCTTGCTTCTCTGAGTTGCCAGAGGGAGAAAACCTCTTTGCTTAGTTCCCCCCAGTCCCCGCTTTCCACTGTAGTGCTGTGGAGCACTTGTGTGCACAGAGCTTTTGGATGGGGAGCAAATGGGCGCCCGCATGCATGTAATCTCCATGGAGAGATTGCTGAGAGGTCAGGGTGCAACAGGAAGTCCTAATGCAGAGGCGTCTAGACATATTTCTGTGCGTTCTCTATTTCTAATGAGTTATTTTTTAAAGGCTAGTTAGAAACCATTTCCTGTTAAAAGTACCTTGGCCAGATAGATATATGGCTAAATCTTCCCCCAAATAATTTCACCAAAAGTTTATTTACATCTTAATTAATTTTGATGGTTATTTTTGTCTTTTAAAGCACCCTTTTTTCTGATTCTAAAAGTCTTACACGATTATTGCAGAAAAGGTGGAATATACAGGACAGAGAATGAAGTAAACTGTTATAACATGTATGTTCCATTTGCTAAAACCTAGTTTTTCATAGAAGCCAGCCATTTGAAACTTTGCCCCTATGAACTTTTTTTTTCATTGCTGTCTTGGTTTAGGAACTTAAACAAGGAATTGATAAGGAAATGAATTTACTTTTAAGAACTGTTATAAACAACAGTAACTTATTCACGTTGTTCATGGGTTGGAACAGAATTTATTGTGGCAATTTCTCTTGAATCAACTTCCCACATCTGCTCCTGGCAAATGGTTTCTGTTTGTATAGCCTGTTTTGTAAATACATCTCTCCACCATTAAGGCAAAGTGCCCAAACACATACCCCTTTCCAGTGCTTGTAGCTCAGCTCATACAGTTAATATTTTTATTGGTTTCTACATCAGAACTTCCTCACAGTACACTTGATAAAACCCTGGAGAAGGTTACCAAGGGATATTGTAGAGAATTTACTTCCCTGGAGATTTTAAGAATAGGATAAACATCCATCTGCCTCCAATGGCTTCAGTGCAGTACTGTCTGGATGAAGGAAGATTAGGTCACCTCTCAGAACCTCAAAATTGAGGAATTCTAAACAAATTCTCATCCTCAGTGCCCTGAGACCAAGGGATGTAGAGATTGCCAAAAGTACCTGAGCTCAGTATGAGGTGAAGTTCTGTTTTGATTTATGTGAAATAAAGGTATTTCTTTGGTAAGAGAAATTTTAAATATCCTTAGGATTTACCAATCCTTTTCTATCATGGACAGAAAATCAACAATGATTTAATTGCTTTCTAGTAAGTTATAGGTTGAATACAGTATAAATTCTATGATTTTAAGTAAATGATTTGATTCATAGGAATTAAAAGTTTGCCCCAGACTTTCTCAACTTTTAACCCAATGTTCTTTTCAGTATCCTATCTTGTGTGTTAAATCTGGTTACTTTTTAACACACCAACATTTTACTTCTCAAATTTATTCTTGCTTTCTATTTTCATGTACTAGTGGAACCCAAATAGCACTTTGACCAAAACCAAGTATTCCTGTAAGCTTTTTTGGACGATATTCTTCTGGACTCCAGCAGTGCCGTGGTGGTGTTGGTGACTTCCAGAAGGTCAGGATTTCATGCGTTGCTACTTCCTCTACCCTCTGGTTTGACAGAAGTATCCTGTAATTCAAGCCACTGTGTGACCTCAGTTGCCGTGACACCTTCCTCCCTTTCTGTAGTATCACTTGACCAGGGGCTGCCATCCCTATTTCCTCCTGAAGGATCACTAAGAGAGGTTCACTTTCTAGAAAAGGTCACGTCAAAAAGAAAATCAGGAAGCCAGAGTCTCCTGGCTGGGCAGTTTTTGCCTGGCTTGAATGAGCAGTGCTTCCATTTCCTACCCTGCAAAGGGCTTGTCATGTTTCTCCATGCGTCATGTTTCTCCATGCAAAAACAAACAAACTAGTTTTCTTATGCATCCTAACACCCAAAGAAAGAATAGGAGTATAAACCATGGTCACTTATTTATTACTATGTGGGAGGCATCCCAGGAACCAGTGATGGGTTCCTGACCCTCAGGGAACTTGTCATATAAGAGGAAAAATAAAACGTTTTAATAAGTGAGTGCCCTTCAGAGGGAGTAGAGTACAAGGGTTAAGAACTTAAGTTTGTTGTACACTTAAACATACATCGACCTATGACTCAACGTTTCCACGCCTAGGTTTTTACCCAAGATAGATGAAAACAAATGATCATGAAAATGACTTGTAAAGAATGTTCAGAGCAGCCTTCTTCATAATTACCAACAACTGGAAACAAATGAATGGATATACAAACTGCGGTATATCAGTACAATGGAATAGTACTCAGCAGTCAACAGGAACGAACTCCTGATACTCACAAAAACCTGGATAAATCTCAAAAGCATTATGTTAACTGAAAGAAGCCGTACACGGAAGAATGCATAAGCAATTCTGTGTATGAAGTGCTAGTACAGGCAAAATAATCTATGACAGTAGAAGTCGGTGGTTGGCTGGGGGCAGGGGTAGCTTGAAAGAAGAAGGGATTTTCTGGAATGGTGGAAATGTTCTACGTCTTGTTTTCAGTGATGGGTACACAGGTGTACATATTTATAAAACCCCATCAAACTGAACATCTAAGATCTATGTATTTTATTGTTGGCAAAGCATTACCTCAATAATAAGAAGAACTTAGGTTCTAGTGTTAAGCAAGTACACATCCCATCTCTGCCTCTAGGCATGTATTGCCTTGGGCAAGGTAGTAAATGTCTCTGAGCTTCAAAATATTGGACATTAATAATAATAACAATGATAATAGAACAACTTCATATGGTTATTGTGAGGATTGAGTTAGATAATGATTAAAAGTATTTGGTTTAGTAAGTGCTCAATAAATGTTAACTATTATTTCCATGCACTGTGATAAATATGTGATTTTGGTGTGGATGATAAGAGTATTCACAACACTTGTTGTGAAAGCCATCTCATTTATTTAAAGTAAGAAAGGATCTTGTCATCTGTTAACTGATATCCTTAGCATTACATGTGTCTTCATTTATTTATTTATTTTTTTGGCAGCTGGGCCATACAGGGATCTAACCCTGGACCTTGGTGTTATCAGCACCACACTCTAACCAATTGAGCTAACTGGCAGACCTTGATGGGTATTGTTTGTTTGTTTGTTTTTATTTTTTTGAGGTTGTGGGGAATCTAAAGTACTTGCCTAATCAAAATACTACTGGAATTTGGCTTTGCCAGCAAAGGTAAACCTCAAGGAGAGGAAGTACCCACTAGGCAAACCCCTCTTTTTTGAGAGTTGATTTAATCAGAGTAGTTGAAACTGAACTCCCAGACTAGGCTCACAGCATTTTCTGGGAATCCAGGTGAAACATTTATATATTACATCCTCTTTCCAAAGGTGTGGGTAGAAAAGACATCTTTTGATCTCTGTATCAAATTAATATTGTATTTTCTTAGAAGAGACAAATTATATAACTTGAATTTTATATGTACTTTGGACAATATGATAATAGTTTATTTAATCTATTAAGTTTCAATTATTTTATTTAAGTTCAGTGAAGTGTTTGGGAAAGATGTTATATACTTTTCAACTCCAAAGGAGGCATTTTGTTGTTGGATTGGTTTAATTCATTCAATAAACATTTATTAAACATTTACTGAGAACGTATTAGCCTCTGGGAATTCAGTTATGAATAATAAGACATTGTACACTCAAGGATTCATAGACATCCAAGCCATGAACATGAATGTGTATACATTTCTTTTAGAATTTTTTTCAGAGCAAAGAGCCCTGTCTTAGGCTAGTCTTAGTTTTTTGTTTTTCAAA